AAATTCTTCGAGGTCAAGGTCACACACACAATTCAAATTGCTCACCTCAACAACATCAGTTCATGCCGTTGTTCGGCATCTACACACGGCAATGTAGCGTTACACGCTCGAGTACGGCTGAATTCCCAGTCGTTTCCATTCTCATTGTTGGCTGCACTCGTTGAACTGAAACAGATTGCAAATGCTCAACAAAAGGTGATCATCGCATCAAGAAATCTCGACAAGTGGACATTTTCTGTCTGAACATATCTCTAGATAAAGTTTGTTTAGGAAGGTAGAACTCAGCGAATATCAAAAAGAAGATTCATTGAAAGTAAATATCTTTTTTTTGAGTTTCTGCTATTTCTGAAGGGTTACGAATATTTAATGCAGCACCATCAGTAATAACAATGAATAGCATACATTTGAACAGGCTTAACAATGCCGTTATTTTCTTTATTGTCATATTCTGTTTTCTTGATAACACAGAACTTCCCAACCACCGGATCGAAGTTATCAGATACGCCATCCGAAGTGATGAAAATCACGTCGTCTGGAAAATTTCAGTTCAACTTGACAATGGAAAAGATTTATTTGAAAAAATTTGAAAATCACAGCTGCACGAGTCAAATACTGATCTGAACCAGCGATCACTTATTGTTAGTTTAATCGGCCAGAATCTATTCACCGCTCGACCACCTCATTAGTTAAGCGTTTGGACACTTAAGGTGAAGTACAAACGGATAAATTCTCAATTCTTCAATCATGTGGGTTTAATCCAGTGTCAGTATATTTCACAGGTAACTTAAGTTTCATCAGCACAGTCAAATGGGTATATTTTGATACGGAATCCAGCAAACGTCAATATTTTTAAGATCATAATTATCCTTTTGTGCACGTACCTGGTTCGACAAAGGTCATCGAGCATGTTAGATTGTGCAATTGTGGATTCGTGCCATCCACAGGGCCTAGTGCACCTCCAGCGTCACGCATGTCACGCATTTGGAAGATATCATGCGATGCTATAGTTACCTGAACTTTTCAATTATCAGACTATCGTCGCCCTTATGAATACGTATCAAGACAATTACAGTCCAGATTGTTATGTCCATGATATTAGCATGAATAACTTCAGTTGCAGGTAATCATAAAGATAAACTGAAGTTTGACTGAATGAATATGCAGATATGTTATATTCAATGAATCGTTCAACAGTATTCCAACATAAAATCCTGTTGGATATCGCTTTGTATTGTAATTTTGTCGGAACAGCAGTTATTATGATATATATCAGTAGCGATAACGCTATCAGCTAAACTGCTGAATTCACCTCATTTCTATCATTCTGCTATTGTTATGATTGATGTTCTTATCATTGATATGATCATATTTAAAGGTTCGTATGTTTTGGTTACCGTTATCATCATAATGCAAACATATTAATGGAATATGATCGATGAACAGTTCCCAGTACATAGTTGCATATGGAGGGGCCTTATT